GCATCCTAAGTTATATGAATATCTTTCTGACTTGTGCAAAATTATGTGATTTATTTTTTATCTACAACTACCCATTCTAACATCCCCTTTACTCATTTCCCCCCCCCCCCACCTTTTTTTTTATCCTATATCCCCCTCCCCCCACTACCTCACTCTACATCTCCTCCTCTAACTATTCTCCTTTCTATCTTCTTTTTATCTCACACCTTTTATACACTTCCATTATTAATATATCCCCAATAAAATATAGCATTTAATTTCTCATGCAGGTGTGACTAATTTCACATGGCTAACATGCTCCTGAAATGGACACATAAATCATAACATACACATCATCATGTGCTAACCTTACCCAACACCTCACATTCCCTTAACATAAGGGCTCACAAGTAATTAGATCAGTAATCAATATACCAATATCAACTTATACTCTTTGTATCTGCTGGTTCGCTATATACATTTGATGTAATGGTATATCTCACCTTAATTTGTACTGCAGTTTAACCCCTTCACGCCTAAGGGTAAAACAAATCTAAATGCCTAAGCACAATTCTGCACCGTTGACATGTGATAGCAAAACCGTACATATCATCACAACTACTTTGCACATCCAGGTGGATTATACCTTGATTTTTTCAGGACAAATTGGGCTTTCATTTGGTGGTAAATGGTAATGGATATCTCCTGATTTTTTTTTATTATCAAAGGAAAACTGGACAAAAATAGTAAAAAAAATCCTTTTTTTTTATTTAGCTATGTGTTTCTTGTTATGACCATAACCTACCACCAAAGAGCAACCCAAAATAAATTCTCCAGCTCTTGACGATCGCAGCGATACCATATATGTGTATGTTATTTGTTTTTTGTACCCGTAGTAGTACAGCCCAGATCCATAGTGCGCATTTTGTTTTTGTCTTTTTTTTTTTTTTTTTTACCTAAAACACACTAACACTAACTGACACTGACATTAACACTAACTGACACTGATACCAATTTTTTTTAAATCCTGACCTTGACCTTTGACCCTGACCTTTGACCTTGACCCTGACCTTTGACCTTGACCCTGACCTAAACACTAACCCTGGCACTGAACTAGATCCAACCTTGATCTAGGTATTTTTTTTTATTTTTTATTTTATTTTTTTAATATTTATTTATTTATCTTTTTTTTTTTTTTTTACAAACTCTTTTTTTTCTTCTCTCTGACAGGAGTTTGAGAGATACAATGTATCTCTCTTCTCCATTCATAGAGAGAGAGAGAAAAAAAAACAAGGGGGCCGGGCTGCACAGTGACTGATCACTGTGATAGCCAATCAGAGGCTATCACAGCGATCATGTGACCCGGGACCGGGAGTCCCGGGTCCCGATCGTTAGAACGGGACCCGGTGCTCTCAGTGACACCGCGGTCTTGGTGCTGGGAGCGCGCTGAGGGGCGCGCTCCCAACACAAAGACAGGTACGCAAATATGCGGCCCCACGGAAAAAAGCCCAGGTCCGTGAGGCCGCATATTTGTGTTACGTCGGCGTCAAGGGGTTAAACCTGTGGTCGTCTGCGAAACGGGATGCTACATGTTGTGTCTATGTTCGGACTGTGATCCGTATTTGTATGTACATTGATATGCCTTACTTTTTCTAATAAAAGTATTTTTGGAAAAAAAAAAAAACTGTTTATTCAGGGGCCCAGAACAGAACAGATACACAAGCAATTGTGATATTGTTGGGATTCATAATGCTAATAAACTTGTGGGTAGTATAAAGAGCTTGCAACAGAATGTCTTCTAACCTGGGATCATTTTGCTTTCCCACCAAAAGTAATTTAGGATTTGATATGGTGGGATTGACCAGCCAACTTCAGGGAGTTCATGACTATAGGTAATACTCTTCATTCTGTCTTCTCCAAGGCTTTAAGCACAGAGGTGCTGGTATATTCTGACAATTCTATGGCAGTTTTCTACTTGCTCTAACCAAACAGTTTTTCTTTTTGGGGGGGGAAGGGAGCAAAATGATTTGTGAAGTTCATTTCAAGGAAGATTCTGATTAGGTACCAGAATTTCTATAAAGAAAAATAAGGCGGGGGAATTGGAAAGTTTTTTGAAGTTATAACTGAAAAAGGAGGCAGAAGTGGAGGGAATTCAAAATGACATATACCTTTTCCCTGATTCTTCTTCCTTAAAACGTTTCAGAAATGCAAAGGGAAGTTTTGCCAAGTTCTCTTGCCTCAAAGTCCCCTGTAGATTTCTCTGATTCGAAAGGACCTGCTTTCTCAGAGTCTGGTTTGGTATTCTAACTTTTAGACTCGAAACCTCATAGCTTGGATCCTGTAATGGAACTTCCTGAAATCCACAGTGGCACAAAAGGTTTAAAAACTACATATTTGAAAATATGAAGAGTCTTCTCGTGTATCTCCCGTTTTCTATAATGTTGATATAGCAAAAATTCTCTTTAGAGTTTACATTATCATTGACCCGCAAAGGTTTGTTAAACATTCCCTTCTAACCCCTTCCCCCATCCTTTCCTACAGGGCTTCTATGTACACTTTTCAGCTTATGCCTTTATTGATGCATGCCTTGAACCAGATTTTCGTCATTTAATATGATTTATAATTGTTGGTCATTGAATTTATGCTCAGAATGTCTGTTTATCTTTGCTTAATATTCAATAAAGCTCTTTGTAAAAGAAAATATGAAGAGTTTTTACTTCATAAAAATCTAAAAGAGGTCACATAATTTGTTTTTTTTCTACAGCATTGGATGTCTTACAGAGTTTTATTACCTACATTAAGTTTTATGCAGCAATTTAGTATTTTTGACCCAGGTGTGTTGTTCATATTTTCTTAGTTTCGATATATTTTTCCTTTCTTCACCCAATTCACTTTTTTATGCTAGATACTTTGTAAGCACTGGGAAGGTGAGATAGATATTTATTGCTTGTTTGATTTATGTTTACGTAAATTATGTAAGGTTATGTTAAGGAGGCGTTGTCACTTCCTTTTATTTTATTGCTTTTGTTATCTGTAAAGTCATGCTAGGTGACAAATTTGCTGTCTCTCTTTTGCCATCTTTACTGCTGTTATGTAGAGGCACATAGGTGTTAACTCTGACCTTAAAATGGTTTTAAAGGCTTCAGGTTTTTAACCTTCAATGCATTCTATTCATGAAGGTACAAAACCTTCGGTGTGCATCTCCCCCCTCAGCCCCCCTAATACCTACTGTTAGACAATGAGGAGAGAGCGGGAGACGGAGTTGAGCCGCGATCTGTGTGTGAATGGACATACAGAGCAGCAGCCTGGGAGCAAGCATGTATGAGTGTGTCCATAGCAAGCAGCTTTCTATGGGGGCACTGAGCAAGGGGGAGGGGCCAGGAGCACTGGTGTGGGACCTGAGAAGAGGAGGATCGGGGCTGCTCTGTGCAAAACCGTTACTCAGAGCAGGTAAGTATGACATGTTTGCTATTTTAAAAATAGAATATGCAAGCTTTTAATGTCACTTTAAAGAAGTCTTAAACTTAAAACAAACGTTTTACTATGTTATAGGTTACCAATTCTTGGATATGATTACTGCATAATTTTTTCTTTTTTAGGATTTTGTTCTTTTATTTTTACTTGATCTGGACAGTAATCCTGTTTTTCAAGAGAACAAGATCTCCTTTGAATGTATCAGTTAAAGGACAAGTTCACCTTTTACTGGCACCCACATTTTACACACTCCCGTATAGATTGCTTTGTGAACAACTCAACATTACGTGCTCTTATGAAAGCCGAGATTTTGCCTATGTCATGGTCAGATCATGCTCCAATATCCCTCACATTGCCCTTGAGGCCACAAAACTCAAAGCCAGTCATTAGCAAACTTATTTTTTTTGTTAAAAACAATTGCCAACTAGACTCGGTGCTTAAACAATACTTTGTAGAAAATAACACACCAGATGTATCTCTGAACACGTTATGAGAGGCCCATAAGGCGGTAATCAGAGGCCAATGCATAGCCTTATTGTCAGGGCTCCGGGTATGACCAGAGGTATGTGAACTGACGCAGGGAAACGCAGGCTTCAAATATGTTATAAACAATATAATTTATTAATACTAACAATACAAACATAAACGCAGTGCACCAAACCCCAAGCTAACACAAATACATACAACAAGGTGAAACAAACCCAAACCTAAACTGATACAGATACACAGGTACATACACATATAGAGCACAACGTAATCAGGCAGGCCGGGTCGATAACTATCGGGCAGGTAGGTACAGGAGGAGCAGGCAGAGAATGGTCGGGGTCACAAGCCAGGGATCAAAACAGGAGAAGTCAGCAGAGGTCAGGATCAAGCAGGGTCGGCAACCAGTCAGTCAGGCAGGAACAGGAACGCAGGTTACAAGATACAGGGGCCCATGGAAAAACACACACCAAGGCCCAGACTTCAGGTCTGGCCATCCCTTAAATACACCTCCGTAATCAGCTTCAGGTGTTTGGCTGACTGCAGGGTTGAGTCTCTGATTGCTGAGAGCACCCGCTGGCCAGCCCTGGTACTGCAGCCCACAAGGCAGGTGAGTCCCACCATTACTGGCAAGTCCATTCCTGACAGTACCCCCCCCCAAGGAGCAGCCTCAGGACACTCCAAACAGTCCTAGCTGGGCAAAATGTTCCCACCCGCCCGGGTCTGGTAACTGGCGGGATATCAAAGACTGGCACATCGGGCTGGACTCCGGGCAGAGGCACATCAGGCTGGACTCCGGGCAGAGGCACATCGGGCTGGACACCAGATCACCAGGCGGAGCAGCAGGCACCGGATCACCAGGCGGAGCAGCAGGCACCGGGCCCCCAGGCGGAGCGACGGGCGCCGGGCCCCCAGGCAGAGCGATGGGCGCCGGGCCCCCAGGAGGGGCGGCGGGCGCCGGGCCCCCAGGCGGAGCGACGGGTGCCGGGCCCCCAGGAGGAGCGGCGGGCACCGGGCCCCCAGGCGGAGCGACGGGCGCCGGACCCCCAGGAGGGGCGACGGGCGCCGGACCCCAGGCGTCGGGGGTCACCAGGGATCAAGTCATTTGGCTCGCCAGCGGGCACCGCATCATCTGGCAAGGCAGTGGGCACCGAGTCACCAGGCACGACAGTGGGTTCCGAGTCAACTGGCATGACCGCGGGACGGGTCAGACATTGGATCGTCTGGCTTGGCAGCGGGCATCGGTTCACCAGGCATCAGGTCATTTGGCTCGACAGCGGGCACCGCGTCATCTGGCAAGGCAGTGGGCACTGAGTCACCAGGCACAACAGTGGGCTCTGACTCAATTGGCACGACAGCGGGCACCGGGTCATCAGGTTCCCGGATCGTCTGGCTCAACAGCAGGCACCGGGTCATCTGGCATGACAGCGGGCACTGGGTCATCAGGCATTGGATCGTCTGGCTCGACAGCGGGCATCGGGTCACCAGGCATGACAGCGGGCACTGGGTCATCAGGCATTGGATTGTCTGGCTCGACAGCGGGCTTTGGGTCACCAGGTATGACAGCGGGCATCGGGTAACCAGGCATCAGGTCATTTGGCTCGCCAGCGGGCACCGCGTCATCTGGCAAGGCAGTGGGCACCGAGTCACCAGGCACGACAGTGGGCTCCGAGTCAACTGGCATGACCACGGGCACTGGGTCAGACATTGGATCGTCTGGCCCGACAGCGGGCATCGGGTCACCAGGCATCAGGTCATTTGACTCGACAGCGGGCACCGTGTCATCTGGCAAGGCAGTGGGCACCGAGTCACCAGGCATGACAGTGGGCTCTGAGTCAATTGGCATGACAGCGGGCACCGGGTCATCAGGTACCGGATCGTCTGGCTCAACAGCAGGCACCCGGTCATCTGGCGCTGGATTGTCTGGCTCGACAGCGGGCATCGGGTCACCAGGCATGACAGCGGGCACTGGGTCATCAGGCATTGGATCGTCTGGCTCGACAGCGGGCATCGGGTCACCAGGCATGACAGCGGGCACTGGGTCATCAGGTACCGGATCGTCTGGATCGACAGCGGGCACCGGGTCATCAGGCATTGGATCGTCTGGCTCGACAGCGGGCATCGGGTCACCAGGCATGACAGCGGGCACTGGGTCATCAGGCATTGGATCGTCTGGCTCGACAGCGGGCATCGGGTCACCAGGTATGACAGCGGGCACTGGGTCATCAGGCGTGATGGGATCATCAGGCTGGATCAGTTCATCAGGCTGGGTAGAGACATCAGGCTGGGTAGAGACATCAGGCTGAAGTGCGGGTGCCGAGGCACCAGGCTGAACCATGGAAGGCAGGTTCTCAGACGGCAGGCTCACCGGTTTGGATACTGGCAGGATGGTACTGGTTGGAAAGAATTTTTGCTTTTTTCTGGTTTTAACTACTGGAGCACTGCAAGTAAATGCAGGTCTGCAAACGAATGGAGCAGCTGAGGACAGAGAAGAGTTGGAAGATGGAACAGAGGAGGGAGCAGCCGCCACAGAGGACCTCTCCACAGGGCCAAAGAAAGGATAGGTGCAGCGAGTGGGAGCAGGGGACTGGTATGTGGTAGTTAGCAGAGCATACTGGGCCGTCACTGGGGGTGATGTCGGGGATGCAGAAAGAGTGCCTTGAGCAGAGGAATGACGTTGCAAGCTGACTGAGGCTGGGTGCAACAAGTCTGACCATGTCTGCAGTATAGGTTGAACAAAGCTGAGCTTACACAAAGCCTGTCTGGTCAAAGACTGCACTGCGTTTATACAATCCCTTAATACCTGTGGTGAACATGCAGCATAATGCTCCAAGAAGCAATCCACATCATCCTCTAATAACCATACCAGGGACTCTACCTGGTCTGCACTAAATGGTGGCAAAAAGTCATTCCTGCTTTCAGGGGTACCAGATGAAGCCAACTCTACACAAACCTGAATCAAAGGTTGCACCTCAGAGAACTCTGTGCCCTGATCTATTAGAACATGAGCGATCCGTATACATTCTAGCAGTTGATCCCGGGTATACTCCCTCAGAGTCTGATAAGCATATTCTCTGTCATCAAAAACCAGCAGCGACAAATACACAACCTCATCAAGATCCATCCTTCCCAGCAACAAGCCAAGATGGCTTCCCTGTGCAGCCACTTCTGGTCAGGATTGGCCTTGGTGTAATGTCAGGGCTCCGGGTATGACCAGAGGTATGTGAACTGACGCAGGGAAACGCAGGCTTCAGATATGTTATAAACAATATAATTTATTAATACTAACAATACAAACATAAACGCAGTGCACCAAACCCCAAGCTAACACAAATACATACAAGAAGGTGAAACAAACCCAAACCTAAACTGATACAGATACACAGGTACATACACATATAGAGCACAACGTAATCAGGCAGGCCGGGTCGATAACTATCGGGCAGGTAGGTACAGGAGGAGCAGGCAGAGAATGGTCGGGGTCACAAGCCAGGGATCAAAACAGGAGAAGTCAGCAGAGGTCAGGATCAAGCAGGGTCGGCAACCAGTCAGTCAGTCAGGCAGGAACAGGAACGCAGGTTACAAGATACAGGGGCCCATGGAAAACCACACACAAGGCCCAGACTGCAGGTCTGGCCATCCCTTAAATACACCTCCGTAATCAGCTTCAGGTGTTTGGCTGACTGCAGGGTTGAGTCTCTGATTGCTGAGAGCACCTGCTGGCCAGCCCTGGTACTGCAGCCCACAAGGCAGGTGAGTCCCACCATTACTGGCAAGTCCATTCCTGACACTTATCCTTGAATATGAAAAAAGCAAGCTGACCTACTCAAAACTCAGACTGAGAAAAAACTGCGAGCACTTGAACTTCAATTGAAAAATATCATAGACTTTAGAACTACTCTTAAGGAATTAGCCTTAGGTAAAATGAAGAAGGCAAATCTATTATGATAAGGGTAATAAAGGCTTTTGATCGCCTCAGATGGCCTTTCCTATTCTAATTGCTTTTTGATAGATGGGAATCAAGGGTCCATTTTTACGAGCAATAACTCATCTTTACTCCAATCCTACGGTGCAAATCAAAACACCCTATCTTCATCGTTTTCAATTGCTAACGAAACACAACAGGGTTGCCCACGATCACCCTTCCTATTCTCACTTTGTACTGAGCCACTTGCAGCTCACATTTGTAATAACCCTAATATTCACGGCATACCTGTTAGAGGAAAGGAATTTAAGTTCTCCCTTTCTGCCAATGATGTAATTCTTTCCCTGACACAGAGTCGGTTTACCCTACCCAATCTTCTGCCCGAGTTTGAGCACTATGGCTGCTTATTAGGCTACAAGAATAACTCATCCAAAGCTGAAGCCCTCTAATTAAATAAGTTACAAACGGAGATTCAATGGCTTTCTACTATTTTTCCTTGTAGGTGGAAAACCTCTTCCCTTAAAGTGTTACTAAACCAACAACAGTAAAATCAGTCTGTATATGCGTATGTATGAATGTAAGTTAGGGACCTTAGATTGTACACCCCTTGAGGGTTAGGGACTGATGTGAATGAACAATACATATGTAAAGCACTGCGTAAATTGACAGTGCTATATAAGCACCTGAAATAAATAAAATAAATAAATATGCATTAAAGCATGCTTGGTTATACTCACTGTGGAACCTAAGTCGGGAGGGACTTTTAAACTAGGTAGTGGGGGGAGGGACCAGAGAACACAAAAGCCACCAGTGAGCAAAGGTTGGAGGGTAAAACTGGAGGCATTCGTGATAATATAACCAGTATGCAGAAGCCAAAGGCGGATAGGCTGGCAGTAAACTAGTGCAGAAAAACTAAGGGTAAACTAATATGCACTCATAGAAAACTAAAGGGCATGTACACTAATGCTAGATGTTTAGCTAACAAAATGGAAGAACCGGAGCTGCTGATGCACGAGGAGGATTTTGACTTTGTGGGAATATCAGAAACTTGGTTAGATAACTCACATGACTGGCTAGCAACTGTCCTTGGGTACTCCTTGTTTTGGAGGGACAGAATAGGTAAAAGAGGGGTAGGAGTGTGCTTGAATATTAAGGATTAGCCAATAGTTAATGTGAAGGACAACATAGCTAATGGGGCAAGGGAGTAGGCAGAAGCCCTGTGGGTGGATCTTCAAAGGGAAGATGCAAATTGGAAGTTAATTCTGGGCATATGCTACAGGCTCCCTAACTTAAAGGATGAGGAGAAGCCTGACCTCCTGACACAATTAGAAATGGAGGCAAGGAAATGTTATTATAATGGGGGATTTCAACTTCCCAGATATTGACAGGGCAGAAGGCACTGCTTGCTTATTTAAGGCTCGGCACTTCACTTAATGCATTGCTAGATCTACTTATTACAAATAATGCAGAGGTGGAAATGGGGGACAGCTTGGGTAGCAGCGATCACAAGATAATCACATTCAAAGTAAACAATAGTAAAAGTGGGCACAAGGGTAGTGTGAAAACACTGAATTTCAAGTGAGCCAACTTTTCTAAATTGCACTCAATATTATAAGACATTAAATATTAATATATTAATAGTAAAAAGGTCCGGTCCAAGCACGTAGGCCCTTTACAAAATAATTTAGAGTGGGTGACTGGGAACAAAGAGAAGGCAAATTTATTAAATACCTTCTTCAGCTCTGTGCATACAAAAAAGCATTAGGGAGCTCTTGTCCATAATAGGCATGGTATTGACACAGATCCAGATGATCCACATTGACTCGCAATTGATATGATCCAAAAATATTTAGACAGAACAAAGGTGAATAAAGCACCTGGACCGGATGGAATACACCCGCGGGTCCTTACAGAATTGAGCTCTGTCATTTCAAAGCCATTGTTTCTAATTTTTAGGGACTCATTAATGATTGGCATAGTACCACTGGATTGGCGTAAGGCCAACGTGAAGCCAATATTTAAAAAGGATTTAAAATCTTTACCAAGTAATTATAGACCTGTTAGTTTAACTTCTGTAGTTGGGAAGATACTACAGAGTTTAATAAAAGACCACATAGATGAGTTCTTGCTGGAAAAAAATATTTTAAGTAACAGACAGCATGGATTCATGAAAGACAGAAGTTGTCAAGCAAATCTGATTTCTTTTTATGAGGGGGTGAGCAAAACCTTGGACAGAGGGGTGGCGGTGGACGTGGTATACTTGGATTTTGCAAAAGCGTTTGACACAGTTCCCCACACAAGGCTAATGTATAAGGTAAAGTCTACAGGCTTGGAAAAATCTGTATGTAAATGGATAGAAAACTGGCTAAAAGATTGTATTCAGAGAGTAGTGGTTAATGATTCATACTCTGAATGGCCTAGGGTTGTCAGTGGTGTACCCCAAGGTTCAGTGTTGGGACCCTTACTTTTTAATATATTTATAAACGATATAGGGTCTAGGATTGAAAATATAATTTCAGTCTTTGCAGATGACACCAAGCTGTGCAGTGGAATAAGGTGTTTACAGGATCTCCTCAATTTACAAGCCGACCTCAATGCACTGTTTAATTGGGCAACTATGTTGCAAATGAGGTTCAATGTTAATAAATGTAAGGTTATGCACTTGGGGGCTAAGAATATGCATGCATCATACATACTAGGGGAGTACAACTGGGGAATCAATGGTGGAGAAGGATCTGGGAGTTCTGGTAGATCACAAACTTAATAATGACATGCAATGCCAAGCTGCGGTTTCTAAAGCGAGCAAAATCCTCTCTTGTATTAAAAGAGGTATAGACTCCAGAGAGAAAGATATCAGATGACCCCTGTACAAATCATTAGTAAGACTTCATCTGGAATATGCAGTTCAGTTTTAGGCACCAATTCACAAAAAGAACATTGGGGAACTAGAGAAAGTACAGAGAAGGGCAACCAAACTGATAAGAGCCATGGAGGAGCTCAGCTATGAGGAAAGATTAGAGGAGCTGAATTTATTCTCTTTTTTTCCCTGCAGGAGCAAATTGGATCATGCTTTGCTTGGCAGATTTTTTGCCTTCCTCTGAATCAACTGTGGGTATAGGAATATAACTTTTTTTTTTTAATGGTTGAACTGGATGGACTTTTGTCTTTTTTCAGCTAGACTAACTATGTAAATAGGATTGAATCCTTGGAACATTGAATGTGGAGGAAGAATGGGAATGCTTTAGGAACATATTAAATAAAGGTATCATCCAGTGCATTCCAATGGGCAACAAATAAAAAAGAGCTAAGGTTAAGCCTGGATGGCTAAACACTAACGTAAAAGTTTATAAAACAAAAAGACCTTTAGGAAGTATAAGGCTG